TAATGAAGGCTAGTGTAAACATCCAAATGTCACACATCCATTTTCCAACTGTTTTTGGTTGACAAGAATCTGCTCACAAAATCCGCCAAAAAATAGTCGAGGCTTTAGAAAAATGCATCAAAAACAAATTCCAAATAACTCTCCAAATGGAATCTAAACAATAACAAAATAACCGTACTGCTTGTACAAATGTTGATACGTAACAATCAGAAAAAAATACATACACACTGAAATTTAATATAATAAAACTTTTTAAAAGATGGTCATCAGTAAACTCTTGTAAAAAGTGTAAAAAAAAATTCAAAAATTTTCATAATTTTTACACATTTTCATTGAAAATTTTTAAGAAAATTCAAACAGAAACTCTGACCACTTAAAGCGGGCATTAGAACCTACAAGGAACAAGCTGTTGATAGTAACAGGATAGGGTTTGATACAGGTAGTATTTATTGTTTTGTAGAAAGGAAAGAAAATCAACCACATCCTGTTGAAACATAAACAAGAAGCCCATGGGCATTAATGGTCATCTGACTATAAAGACCTGAAGAGGCAAACTAGTCCTCAAATGTCCTTACACAAAAGACATTGGTGGTTCACCAAGATATTTTCTGCAAACTTGAAATCATATTCTTTATACATGCACTACACAACTGCCATTACTCTGGACATATTGCTTGTTGAAAAAGCAAGCTACAGTCCCAATATCTTGACCCTTGGCCTTTCGGTTATTGAAAAGATGTTAAAACATTTCCACACATTTAACCTCCGTGACATTGAATGTTGTCCAATATCAGCATCCTGGTCCTTTTAGCTATTGAGAAGAAGCCATTAATACATTTTAACACATTTGATACCTGTGACCTTGAAAATATGCCAATGTCATTCATATTTAGCGAATAAGTCCGTAGCCCTTCATCCTAGCATGGTACAGGCCTAATATTATCATCATTAGTCTTTGGTTAACGAGAAGAAAACATTTAAAAATTATGACATATTTGACCCCTGTGACCTTTCGAGCAGATAAAGGTCATTCCTATTAACTAAGGGTCAAATAAAGTTTCTGAATTTAAGAAATGATTCCTAACTCTCCAAGTTTTAGACTAAATTTGGTTGTAATTAATTCAAGCATCAAGAAAGGGTAGCATTTTGAAGCAAAATATTGACTAACTTTCCCATTTGGGGCCCCACCCATCCCCAGGTCCCTAGGGGTCAAATCAACTTTCTGAATTTAAGAAATGATTATCCACTATCAATGACGTTTCAGACAAAATTTGGTTGAAATCCGTTCAAGCATTAATAAGGAGTAGTGTATGAAGCAAAATAGAGTCTTATTTTCCCTTTTGAGGCCCAGTCCTGAGTCCCTAGGGGTCGAAATCAAATTTCTGAATTTAAGAAATAATTGCCTACCCTAAATGGTGAATCAGGCCAAAGCTTAATAAAATCAATCCAGGCTGAAAGAAGAAGAGCTTTAAATCTAATTTCAGCACCTCCCCCTCCCCCTCCCCCCTTTGGGGCCCCATCCCTCCACTCGTAGGTCAAATCAAAAGTCTGAATTTAACAAATGATTGCCCTCACTGAATGGTGGATGGAACCAAATTTGGTTGAAATCCATTAAGGTGTGAAAGAAGAGCAGGGTTTTAAAGAGAAAGTTTACGCACAGCGCACGGCAACAAACGAACTATGACTAAATGTCATCTTGACCCTTTGGGTAAGATAAGCTAACAATCAATTACAAACTTACACAGTTATCAATTTCACCAACATGAAACTTTTCGGTTTCTGAACATCTCACCACATTATGTCATGTCATTGCCCTGTCACATGACTATCACATGACTATCACATGACCACTATTTGGCATGTCACACAAACAAAGTATGTTATGCAACATTACAAATGTTTGTTCTCTTTCATTTGGTATCCCATCACATGACCAAATATGACATATCACATGACCAATGTATGCCATGTCACATGAACATGGTGTGTCATCTACCATACAGTATCTGTCTTTGGTCCATGCTGTGACACGACTGGCTCTGTCGATTCTTTGGTCCAAGCTGAGGAGAGGAAAGGTCAAGTCTTCAATCCTCGTCTATCAATAAGTCCGGTCTTCAATCCTCACCCATCATTTAGAGTTCATGGATAAACAACGGAGGTTCTGTTGCATTGCTGCGTAAAGAAGAGAAATTGGCAAAAATTTTGTACAGTGACAATTGTTAGAACACAGAAAGATCAGCTATCTTGATGTATTAATCGAGTACATCGACTGCATATCATTTCTGGTAACTGAGGTGTTATGAAAATTGATTTTTCATACCTTTCTCAGATAGATTAGGATTAGTGACAACCCATCATCTATCAAATATTATATTGAAAGATAATGGTAATATGATATTGGTGTCCAACGCAAACTTGGTACTGATTCTTAATCAACATGAGAAAATGTGCTTAGCCATGACTGCTTCCGCTCACACACATAGTAACATTTGGGGCCACGCCCATCCCGCTCACACACATAGTACCATTTGGAGCCCCGCCCATCCCGCTCACACACATAGTAACATTTGGGGCCCCGCCCATCCCGCTCACTCACATAGTAACATTTGGGGCCCCGCCCATCCCGCTCACAAACATAGTAACATTTGGGGCCCCGCCCATCCCGCTCACAAACATAGTAACATTTGGGGCCCCGCCCATCCCGCTCACACACATAGTAACATTTGGGGCCCCGCCCATCCCCAGGTCCAGTAACAGTGATTAGATGAATTTGCATTAGTTGTTAAATGTGACATTTGACCCATCAATCTTGACCAATGACCATCTTAATTGATATGGTGTAGAACATTATATCATGGTATGGTGTAAACATGAACCAAATCTGTTGACAGGTTCTCATGATAGGACAATAATTCAGAATGGAATGGGAGAGGATGTAACAGAATTGATACACATGGGTAACACTATATACCCTTCCAATTAGTAACAGAGGTATACAAAAATATATGTACACAATAACAGGGCTCTTATCCACAGAAAAACATCACATCATAATTAGATTTGATCATTTCTTTTTTAAATTTAAAATAATTGCTACAAAATGTAACCAATTCATATCTAATTTCTGCATTTAAATTTAAACCTTCAGTCGCTGACATTCGAGTTGAAACAGAACATAACATAGTATCAATCCAAAACGATAAAAAAACATTTTACCGATCATTCCAGGTGGAGCGTAACCACGACCCTTGGGAACGTTGCTCATTGTATGACCCAAGATGCCTCGTCCTTGTCTACGCATCATATCTGTGAAAAAATAAAGAAATTACTCGGGGATCAATTTCGGCTTATTGCTATACTACTGGTATTGAGTGGTTTCTCACGACAGCTAAAATTTCCCTCTTACAGAATATTCTCCTTGAATCTTACAATATATATTTCTGTTTTATATAGGAAATTGAAAATTATAATTTTTCTCCTCGAATTTTGCCTTTTTCAAAGGAAAGACTTTTTGATCTTTCAGTTTTTTTTGTTTTAGAGTAGAATTTGATGGATTTTGCATATTTTCTGTTTTAGAAAGAATTTTACATTATTCCAAAGTTGTCTGGATTCTGTTGCATCACTGTGTAAAGGGGAGAGAAAAAAGCAAAATTTCTGTAAAGTGACAATTGTTAGAACACACTTTTTTTCAAAGTATTAACTTCAGAAAGATCAGCTCTCTTGATGTATTAATCTAGTTCATCAAAATCATATAATTTCTGGTAGCTGAGATGTTATGAAAATTCATCTTCTAAGTTTTCATTTTCACTCACAGACTTAAGATTTCCAGGTAATGATGACCAATCTAGATAGACTAGGGTTAATGATGATCACCACCAATGAAACGAAATAAAATCTGTTTCTTATGACAATCAGCTCCTAAACTAAATGATAAACAATGTCTATTAAGAATGATAAGAATCTTCATTTCTAGATTTTGAGTTCCTTGATGTTAATACCATTTATTACTTTTTTATACAAAAACTTACCAACTATACTGTCTCCGGGATCCCCACCATTAGGAAAAGTTGGACGGTACCCAGCCATCTGTGGTGCTGGGGTTGCCTCAGGTAGAGAGGATGATGAGTCTATGGCAGAAAACCCAGGTGGGGGTGCTGGTCCTTGTGATGAAGAAGCTTGTGGCTTTAAAGCACCCAAACCAGGTGGATCATTCTGAGCAAACATAAACCAGAACCAGATTACACATCAGGTACCCTGATTAATGTATACCCTAACATAATTAGTGGTCTCCATTTCCAAGTCAACACTTGTTTATTACATAATTAGCTTTCAATACTTATCTCAGACTAGAAATTGTTGTTAACAATTTTGCGGGCTTTTCACTTCTTTGGCGACAAATTGACCGGAAGTTGACATTTATCCTGATAACAATATATGAGAAAGATTCCTTGTTTGTTAGTCTCTATAACATATCCAAAGATGAAATTTGTATATTGAAACGTTAAGGAGATATAACTACATAACAACGAAGAAATACACTTATTAAAGGTTCAAACATATTTGACCCCTGTGACCTTGAATGTCGGTCAAGGTTATTCATATTTGCAAGCCTAATAATGTAACATCTGATGATCAATATATCCCCAATATTAGTCCTCTAGACCTTGTGAAACTTGACAAGAAGATTGTTGAACACTGGTACCCTATTTTGTATATTTGAAATTTGACCCCATTCAGAAGCCGGAAGTTGACATTTTGAGGGAAGTTTTTCTGATGACAATCACTAGGAAGTCTCCACAGAAGGTTTATAATTAATTTTCATCATTGTATGCCTTCTAGAAATTGAGAAACTGTCATTTAACAATTTTTAGTTCCTTGACCTCTGTGACCTTGAAAGTGGACCAAGGTCATTTATATTATCAAACTTTGTTGCCAGTTACATATGCTTCTTATATGTGAAATATCAAGCATCTAGGCCTTCCAGAACTTGAGAAGAAGTTTGTCAAAGATTGGTACCCTTAATAGCACTTTTCAACTTTGACCCCCTACCGCAAACCGGAAGTTGAATTTTGAGGTACGTTTCTCTTATATCAATCTACAGGAAATGTCCACAGAATATATGTGTCCAAAGTTGAAGACTTTGGGCAGCTTAACAATGGAGAAATTACCATGTAACGATTTTTACATAATTGACCCCTGTGACCTTGAAAGTGGGTCAAGGTCATTTATATTAATAGACTTGAAAGATAATCTAGACCTTTCAGAACTTGAGAAGTTTGTCAAAGATCGGTAACCTTAATAGCACTTTTCAACTTTGACCCCTACCGCAAACCGGAAGTTGAATTTTGAGGTACGTTTCTCTTATATCAATCTACAGGAAATGTCCACAGAATATATGTGTCCAACAGACATCTTACACATGAAATATCAAGACTCAAGGCTTTGCAGAACTTGAGAAGAAGTTTGTCAAAGTTTGTAACAGAAAATAACACTTTTGAACTTTGACCCCTACCAAAAACCGGAAGTTGACCTTTGATCCCAGTTTTTTTCTTGTGGAAAGTGTTTTCTTTTCAATTTACATGATATGATTAAAACTGAGGTCACTACCTTAAACAGTTCTTGAGTTACGGCATTTTAGGTAAAATCGGAAATGACGTCATGGCGGCCATTTTGTTTTTCCGATGAATTTGTAAATGTCACTAAATGGTAGAAGACATCTGGGGAAATCTTCTCAGTAACAATTTGATAAAATATAGCCCATCAATATTGATCTATAACGAGTTTTTCCTATTTGTTGGCATTTTTAAAAAATCAAAGAAAATTTTCAAAATGGTGTACAGCAGAAATGATAAACGTTTCAGAAAAACTGAAAACACTAAATTCATCGGAAGGACGTTCTGCATCGATCTGAGGAAGAAAATTTCATGAAAATTCAAAATTTAAAAAAAAAAAAAATATGTTAAATTTTGAAAACTTTACCCCACAGCGAGCTTTTTAATTTGACATATTTTGTATTAATATTGCATGAGAAAAAGTTAGATATGGAAATTCTCTACAAATAATATTATTGCACAAACTCTGTACAATCAATGGTTTTCGAGATATTGCCGTTTTTAAGTTTTTAACTTCATGGCGGCCATATTGGATATTTTACCTACTTAAAAAATCGGCATCGACAACTTCATATACGTATCTACAAACAGGTGAATAGACTGTATGTCTAGCTTTTACAATTTAAAAGATTACGAACCCACAAAATAAGAATAATAAGAAACATAACAAAAACAATAGGTCTTTTCACCACTTAGTGAAAAGCCCTTATAATACTAAACACCATAATGACCTGTTGTGTTGGGGCAGTATCAGAGATAGCAGCTTGCCATGCAGAAGGTGGGGCGGGGGCAATCTGGGGACCGGGTGCCCCCTGACGGCCGGCATATTTCTTTGGCGCTTCATCATCTGAATAAACAAACAAATATTATACAACATGTGTCACCATCCTTTTTGTCAATAAAGTCGCTCTTTAAGGAGAAGTGAACTAATTGGAAAATGAAGCAGTTATATAAAATTCATACCTCTACTCTTCTTCAAATCTGGGACGGAGGTTTTTAATGGTTTTGACAGGAAAACCTTAGTGAAAGTGCGAGTCTCAGAGTTTAAGATATAAACAAAGGTAATAGATGCATTAAACTATCTGGCAACAAACACTGTATACCCAAACCACATTAACAAATCCAGGTGTTATACATAAAAGCATGCAATGTATCAAGGGAGGTAACTCTAATTTCCTAATTATCTAAATAACTGCATGACAATTCAACTGGGTCTTCTCAAATTCTACAAATATACAGTATGACATAAATAGAGAACAAAATTAAGTTATTTACCTGGTAAATTCTTAGGTACGCCTCGTCCAATACCAGCCATAGGTGTTGGAATGTTGCCACGTCCCAGCGAAGGGATGTCTCCAGGGGTGGGCCTATATCCCCGCCCCACAGAAGGTTGTTGTAGCTCAGTTTGTGCCAGGGAAGGGAAATCACCTGTGGTGGGCATGTATCCTCGCCCAACAGGAAGTCGAGGCCCTGTTTGTGCCATTGAAGGGAAATCTGCGGTGGTAGGCATGTATCCTCGGCCCACAGGTCGTGGCCCAGTCTGTCCCAAGCCGGGATAGTTTTGTGTCATTGTGCTAGGTGGCCCTGCAGGTTTGGCTACAGGAGCAGAGGCTGACCAAGCAGACTGTGTAGGACGGATATGAGTGCTAGATGACCAGGCAGACTGTGTAGGTATTGATGCCATCATGCCTGCTGAACCAGGGGCTGAAGAAAATAATACAGATTTTAGTTTAGATGTAAACTTAAAGTCAGATGGTTGACACTTGAACATTTTTGCCAATCCAAACATTTATAAAATCAATGTTTGGTCTGAGGAAGAACTGTAACTTAAGACATCAAGATATAACTGGCATCATTTTATATAGAGGTCTCTATAACTGTAATAGCACATAGTGTACACTTAAATAACCCCAAGCACCATTTTAAACAAGGGCTGTCAGAGACAGGTTATGCTACCTGGTTGGGACAAATTTTAAGTATGAAATATACCAAACAGCAATTAGAAAGCGATGGTTCTGGTGCACTGCACTTTTCCTTGTTGGAATGCTCCAGACAAAATTTAACTATGAAAAATAACTAAGGGCAATGAGTCTTAAATCATGCGAAAAAGAGCGATGGTTCTTATGCACTGCAATTCTCCTTGCTGAGATCTATCTACCTATGAAGTTTTTATGTTAATACCTCTGTAAGTTTTTGTGTTATGTTAGGCACAAAAATTATGATGGAGAAACAGACAGACAAATTGGTGACTATATGCTCTCCTTCCCGGGAGCTTAAAACAGAAACCTTTGTAATTGTGGTGACAAATAGTATTCACCTTCTTAACCTGAGCACTAATTTTAAACAGATGCCGCTGTTGATTGTATAGCAGATGTGTTTACGGTATTACTTCAGTCGTGATGTGTGCAAGGGAGCTATGCTCCAGTCCAATATCTGCTAGATCATGGGTTCTAATGCTACGCTGTCCATTAAGGGGTCACCCCTACTGTTGTTTCCCTGTCAATGATATTTTGATTTTCCTTCAACATCCAAAATCACATTTCTGTTTACGGCACTGTAAAAACAGATTTACAGCAAATGTTGATTGTTCACCTTGTAAACGATGTTGAATAATCGTTCATTTTTATTTTTGTGCTTCCCCACCGCATGAGTTTTGATCTACACCAGATAAGATGATTGATATCTAATTAATTGTGGCCAGCAGAGGATGACCAAAGATTGTTACAACAATCTGTATCAGACAAAACAGGACATCAGAACTTCAGGCTTCAGGTCAAAAGTGCCATTTGCTTTAAAATCAGTAGTTTAAACGTTACCTGGCATGTTGGGTCTCCTTAGGGACTGGTATCCAATATCATCGTCACTATCATCTGTGTCGTCATCATCATCAACTCCATAGGATGCAGCCTATAAAACACAACAGGTGTATTGTGAAATCTAAGATTTTTGTGAGAGATTAATTTTACTCCACGAATTTATGTTTCCATTTAATATTAATGTTATTTATTTATCCACAGAATCAAATGTCCATGAAAAAATATTTGTTTTGGAGAAACTGCGAAAATTGAACCGCATGAATATTTATCATTTTACAGAGCTCTTCAAAAAGTCATCATTCAAGAGAAAAAAGATTCTGATACTTAATGCTTTTATCAACAAAATTCCAAGAAGAAATGTCGATGGTGTGATGAACATCAGATAAACCGATGAATGCTCCCCAAAACTGAATTAATCAAACGGCAATGATTCTGCAATTAAGAAGTTGCAGGCCCTGAATTTGGGAATACTGCACTTACTGTATGACCAAAGTATACACAAATTTTCAAAAAACCCCTGAATTATGCAAAAGAGAGTTATGGTTCTGGTACACTGCACTTCTTCCATGTGGACTGACGGATGGACAGACACCCAGATGGATGGATAGGAGGGTGGATAAATCATTGACTAAATGCCCTCCCTTCGGGGAGCATAATAAAAACAAAACGTCAGGGTTCTTGTATATTTAACTCCGACCCCCCCTAATCTTTTTCTTATGCTCTGAATCTACTGAGGGGTCAATATCAATATTAAGTAAGTTGGCTGTACAAAAGTAATTTAAAAAAAAAAAGTTTATTGATTAAGGCAATTAAACAAGTTAATCAATGTCAAAAGTAAAACACAAATAAATTTCAGTTAAGTTCAAGAATGATGCCTACATCAAAAGTAATTACTTAATATGTAAAATTGTTCATATAATGATTTGCAACTAACTGCCTTAATTTTTCCACTTATTTTCAAATTAGTAGAACATGCAAATACAGGTAAATTAAAAAAACTTAAGGCTTCTCATAAACAATGGTCTAAAAATATTCAATGTAAGAAGCAGTCAGCTTCATAACACACATGAAATTGATAATAATTACATGCATTGTGTTACGGATTATGTCACAGTAACTCTAATCCAACACAAATAGAAACATTACACCCACCATTTTTTGTTTGGCTGGAGGCTGTTGGCTACCAAATGTGGAGTGTTGGGCAGCTCTTGACTGAGGAGGGGGTTTGTAGGACACCACTCCAGCTTGTCTAGGTGGAGGGCCACCCGTTTGTCTTGACTGGACCCTCATGGAAGGTGGCGGCAAGATTGTACATCCTGTGTTAATATTATTACGAATGGGGACATGGTTTTTTGTTAAGTCAACATCGTACTTTTGACATATACTGTCTGAGATGGCAAATCTACAACAAAAAATAAGTGAAATGAATATTCGTTCAAACAGTTGTTTGGAATTTTTTCCAACTTTTTCATACAATTTTCGATTCCTCAACCAAAATACTTAATTAGTAATAGCAGTTAAATGATGAACTATTGACATATTTTCCAGGCATTGTGTTCATAGTTAATGAATAAGGTCAAAGGTCAGATAATTATAAATAATGTTAATACTCACGCATATCGCTTCAGGATTCCAAGCGAACAATATTTACACTCCTTGTCTTCATGGAATGCACACCTAGAAATGCACATAGAATACACTATCACAAATCCTTTCATAAATTATCTCCCCTTATCATTTCATCAACAAATAAATTAATCAAATGCACATTATCTCCCCTCTTTGCTGTAAAATTCAATAAAAATAAATCTCGCAAAAAAATGAATGATTTTACATATCTCATTGACAAAAGAACTCAAGCTTAAATCTCTGTTTGATGTCATTGACAATATGGCTCACATTACCTCTCTCCAGTGACAGGTCAACTCATCCAATGATCTCTGTTCTTTATGTCATTGATTTCATAAGAACTATAAGTTGCTAGGAATTTATTTTTCTTGCGTAATCAAATTCAACAAACCCCTCAAAGTTATCAAAATAATCATATTTTAAAACTTTGAAATGTCATCAAACTCCTATTTGGATTTTAAATTTATAATTTTCAAATCTTACAACTTTAAGTTATCAAATTTTTTTTGGGGGGGGAGATATTTCTGAACGATACATGTTTTAATCACAAACTAAAACAAGAGATCCCAGAGGGATCTTGGCGCCCACCATTTGAGGATCTGTTTTCAGTTCTTGAAGATTTGTTTATTTTTTTTGGTTTGTTACAGGTGTTGTAAATGTTCATGAACTGGTCTTCATTGAATGTACTCAATGATGGCACAAGATATTTTTATCAAGCACCTATTAGCAAATATCATTTGAAAAAGATCCCAAAGTATTATTAGATAGCAGTCAGTTACAGGTGGATGATGGGACAATATGCTTGTGCTGTATTACTGTCGATATCCGAGATGGCTGCCTGTGGGCCACCTTGATTTCAAATCAGTCCAAAAAAGGTACAATGCACAACTAGAGACCAAGGGAAACAAATATCTATGAAATACCAGAAGGATCCATCCAGTACTTCCTCAGATATAGCAGTAACAAGATTTTACTCTCAAAATCCAAGATGGTTGCCTGTCAGCCATCTTGATTTCGGATGTCCAAAAAGGTATAATGCACAACTTGGAACCAAAGGGAACCTGCATATGAAATTTGAGAAAGATCCATCCAGTACTTTCCAAGAAATAGCGGTAACAAACTTTTACATTCAGAAATGGCCACCTGTCTGCCATCATCAATTCGAACAAACTTTTACATCCAAAACCTGCATATGAATGGCCACCTACTTTCCAAGAAATAGCGGTAACAAACTTTTACATCCAAAATCCAAGATGGCCACCTGTCTGCCAAAAAAAGGTACAATGCACATCTAGGGACCAAGGGGAAACTGCATATGGAATTTGAGAAAGATCCATCCAGTACTTTCCAAGAAATAGCGGTAACAATAATTGTTTACGGACGGACGGACCACGGACGCAGGGCGATTTGAATACCCCCACCATCTGATGATGGTGGGCTAAAAAAAGAAAATTCCTCTACCATCTAAAGCCCCAACACATTTAATTCTAGAACTCCCTTAATCTATAAGGCGATAATTGCACAATGTGAAATATATCCTTATAAAGAAATCACACTAACATACATACTTAATTTTTGGCTCATAGTCCCAGGTGCTGCACGTTAGCATGTCTATCACAGATGTTTTGGACGGTGATGGACCAATGTGTCCAAACAGTTCCACTACAAGGCCTTCTAGTTCGTACACCTTCGTCAGACGGTTTGGGATCCCAAGTGCTGCTCCCCCTTTTACCCATTCCAGACAGTAGGCCATCTCCTCGCAGTCGTCACCCTAGATATACAAAAAATTCATACTTCAGACAGGTTAATGTTACTATTAAAATTATAGAATCGTGAGTGCCACAACACAGGCGTTACTACTGTACTCGACACAAACACGTTACTGTTCGTCTCACCAGCGACATACTTGACACAAACATGTTACTGTTCATCTCACCAGCAACGTACTCGACACAAACATGTTACTGTTCATCTCACCAGCAACGTACTCGGACTTCTAAAATCATATATATGTATAGTGTATATCAAGACATTTTTACTGACATGGAGAGAAACACAACAAATTTCACAACACTCCAGGGATTACCGACTGAATCTGATATAGAGCACAGGACTGATTACTATTATTATTACATTCTTAACAGACTGTCAACACATATAAGGTCATTAGGGCCATCAAACGGTAAAACACACAGCGATCCAAAAGGAAATAACATTAAATTAACTAAAAGGTAATAGACAAATGATAAAATCTTAAATGGTTATATTATCACAAAAGATCAAAATGGTACGTCATAGTCTATAATACAGACCAACATCTTTCAAATAACCTAGAATTTTATAAATATGAACAGTTCAAAAAGGATATTTAGTCTTGCAACATTACAATAACAAATGTAACAATAGTAAATGGCTCATCAAATCCTATGCACCAAGGATTATCTTCACCTTTCAACACATATGTGTAAGGTAAGTGACCCATGTGATGACGAGAAAGGACAACTTCATATCCCGTTCTGGTTGTCTCTTCAGCATGGAGACCATTCACCATAGAGGACAATATTACAGCAATTTAAAAGACCAACATAAATACTTAATAGGCGCTTTGTTTGATTGCTGCTTTTATCATCTCATGAACAGCATTTTGCAGCGTTATCTCCATGTAGTAGTTGATGCCTTCTTCACAAACAATATGGCCTATTACATACCATCCATACCACTTAAGTAAAGTATCTCGCCCAAAGAAACGACAATGAAATACAAACAGTTATAGGTAGGGAGAGTTGAACCACACACTTCCAGAACAGCCCCTTAATGCATGTTTTAAACTAGGTGATGTGGAAATGTCTATCAGACAATGAACACACTCTTAGATGCAAACCAAACTCTGATCAGGTATAGAAATTGGTGGTATGGTACTCCGGGATAAATATGAGCTAAATTTAAACCTGTCTCTCATGAAATAAGATTAATCTGGAGAGGGACACAACAGGATGTAATGGACAGAGATGACAAAATATAATATCACTTAGTAAATAAATGATTCAAAGAAATATATTTATTACATATAATATTTATAAATAATATTAAAAATTCCTTTTTCATTACTCTGATCAGGTAGAATAGATTTAACCGTGAACAAAGAAATACAAACTTAATATCCTACACTTACTAGACAGAACAAGGGAGGGTACTCTGGTTTGTCTCCATTTGGGTTAACAAAATTCTCAAGCTGAATCCAGATCCCTCTATAGTTATCATCTGCCTGATCAAAACCAGAAACTGGAATCTGGTGGTAGTCAGCACCTGAAATACAACATGCATATAACTGTATTACTTCCAGTGTATGCCAACAAGCGTTAATATGGACACAATGACCACGACTGATGTGACCATGATCCCACGTAATTGATAACATAATCTGATGCTGTATTTTTTCATAATTGATAATTGGTGCCTCAAAAACGTCTTGTGTTTAAGAAAATCAAAATTCATTTCATGCATAAAAAAGATGCCAATTGTCAATAATATTTGTTCTTATACAAATTTTAAGTGAGGTACATGTATTTTCGCATGAAAATTGAAAGTGAAAAAAAGAAAAGAAAAATCACTGTGTTCATTTGATTAAGATTGAAATGTATTAGCAATTAATATCTTAATCTTGAGCAACATGAAATTTCTTTCTGCTAAAACACTGAACAATACTAAGGTAACAGTGATTGATTATGTAAGTTACATGAGGTTAATCAATCAAATCTGACCATCGCCCAATCTGTATCAATAATTAATTCTCTGCAATGAGTTATACTCACTTTTCTGTTGGCACTCGTACCTATATCCTGTTGGTATTTTACCTGAAAAACATTTGTCGAAACAAAAATAATCCTTTAATATACAAAATGAAGCTTAAAATAAAAAATTGGCAGGGCTGACTAACAAACCTCAAAATCTAGCACTTATAATGTTAGAATAAACTTCCAGAAAACCTCACGAGATTCCCAAAATTGTTATCTCTATTACCTGTCTGATCCCCTCTTCCAACCACCCCACCCTCCCCCCAGTTCTCTTAAGAGTAGATAATCAAGATGATCAATCTATTGTTTATTCCATTTTTAACCGATCAGCCTCAAAAATAAATTGTTTGCTGGGTCATATTTAGATGAGTTCTCCTTATAGTAGCTGGTGGCTACCTCACTGAACAACATACAGGAGGCCCATTACATGTTGTCCAAAGCATTTAGGGTAAAGTATCTTTGTGCTGAAGGGCACGACCATATCAGAATAGACCCTTCAGTATCTCGGTTTACTGATAAGTACAATTGCCTAGGTAGTGAAAATAAATTATGTCACATAGAACAGGAAATATATAAAATCTGTGAATGATTTATCAAATACTTAGAAAAGCAGGCTAACCAAAATTGTTCAAAGTCAAAAAATAGACTCTGTACAATTAGTGATATGATCAGGTCACCCAATATCATTACAACAACCTGTCACTCACACATGCGTTATCATCAAATCTTCTGGTTTTGTATAAAGAGAAATTCTAGTGTTTTGGGACAATTACCTGGTTCTATGAACTTCTGGAAAACTCGTTTGATGCCTTTACGTATACTATATTCTAAGAGCGCAACTTCAGCTGGTAAGTATTCCCCGTCACCTGTTTTGCAGAGCGTCTGAAAGTTTATCAGGTAGAAGTTCTCGTCTGCCAGAGCTGTAGAAAGAAATCAAGACTTATTACACCGGAAACAAATTCTCATTGTATGAAAATTTCAAAGGATCCTTCATTCCAGATTCAAAAATTTTCAATGCTGTACTTTAAATTCTGGTAAAAATGGAGACTCTGCTTTGCATCATTAGCAGAAACCAGTAAAACAATTCAATCAAAATTCAAGGATATTGTGATGCAATTTTGAACTCAACCATTAGTTTTCTGATTTTTACATTGTGTATATTTACAGTGTAAAATTCCCTTGTCTAGCCCTTGGGTTTGAGACAGGAGTCCCCTTTTGTAACAATTGTGTTTAAATCAAGGCATTATTGAATGACCTCCTGCTAATGATGTCACATCATGAGTTTGCCACAATGGAAGCTAATGTCAAGAGATAATGAAGGGTCGGATATATATAAGCTAAAAATACTGTCCCCCCCCCCTCTCCTTCCGTCCCCTCTGAGGAAAGCAGGGTTTTCCATAATTTTGTTAGTAGTAGGCTGTGTATTGAAAGTAGTAGGCTGGCAAAGCAACACAGCGAGGTGGGGTGGCCTGCTGTGTACGTGTAGTCGTGTACAGAACATTATTATGGAACTGGATTGGTGTAGACGGCCAAATGATCAAAGGAGCCAGTCAAATTGGCGTACAATTCTGCTAGTCAGACACCTGGGGCTGGTGATTTTCAGGTCACGGCTGTTCCATGACACTGACTAACCTATCGGCTTGTGAAATGTGTATGTTCTAAATCTATATTAAAAAGCCAATCTGTTTCTGTACACATTTCTGATAGCTGTAGACATGAAAATTGGTCAAAGTAATAACATTTTATAACCACAGGTGGTTTCCATCAGTTCACAAAGTTTCTTAAATGTAAATGATACCTTCATCTAGGTGTATCAAATGCCTGGTCATATCATAGATAGATTCAAGAATTCAAGCATAGGAGTGACCCAGTTGTATATGCAAATTTATCAACATGTAAACAAGCTTGAAAATTGCAAGGATAATTTAGGATTAGACAATAGTTGTAATATGAAGAGACAGTAAGTGAACATGTCACTGATTGTTGTATGTATGGTTCTAAATTAAAATTAAGGGAATGCTGATGCTGTTGAAATTAAAACAAAATCATTCCTGCCTAGTGCTACTGCTTTGATAGGTATGACATCAAGTAAGATGTGTTCATATCAAAATAAACCACTGTTGGTTTTCCAAATAAAATAAGACAGCATGTTAGCTAGTTGAAGATCAGTATACTTGACAAATGATTACAACATTGTCTTCTAAAAATATACATTTCTCTGTAATTTTTAATGGCTTTACACTTGAAATATTGCAAATTTATCATATAAAACTTGAACACTGTCATACAATTTCCTTTGAGAAATATAGGAATATCAATTTTATTTATATTAGTACCATTAGTTCTAAAGACTGATCCAATGTCTACTTCGTTGCTTTACGTGTTTCTCACTGGAAACCAGATGGGAGAATAAATTACACATGTCTAGAAAGAAGACGTTCTGGTTGACGAGCTAAATCTCAGCTTATTAAAATCAGAAGTTAAGTTAATTTATAAAAATGGTTTCATTAACATTTTATTTTGCTCTTATATTTTTTATTTAACTGAACAGTTTAAGTATATTTCAGTCTGCTTATATCAGAAAAAAATTTGACATGATTGGGTCTTGGTATTTAACTGTCTGAATATTTAACTTGACTATGTAGTTTGTGTCTTTTCTATAAAATTCATGTGTTCCTGTGGTATACTTGTGTATTAATTTATTTCTTTTATGTTAATTATCAACTTATTGTACAGAAACTAGACAAACAGTACCATTTGTACATGTTTAAAGTTTTATTGAACAACACAGATTTCATTTAAGCTGTTGAGGAAACGGCAAATTATGGAAAAACAGCATTTAGCTTTAACTGAAACACTGCAAAAGTGGTGACAGTAGTTTCATTCTGGGCTAGCGAGAAAAAGTGGCTCACTAGCCTTTGGGCAAGCAGAAAATATTCAGTATTGAATACCCCTGAATCTACCATACACAAATGAGAATGTCATCTCACAAATTCCAGGGCCTGGAAAAGCACTTTTCTGCATGACCTGTTAAGTAAACCTACTAATGGAGCAGTGTTGTCACCTAGTCCACTGGATGAGTAAATTTTCTATGTTACTCTATATCAAATAAAAATGTCTACCAATATTCAGTCATTAAGCATTTCTTTATGCAACATTACAGTACAAAATCATATAATTTCAACATGTCAGTTGAATTTCCATTTCCTAGAATGAAAGCTGCACATGACTAAACAAGTGTTTGGTTGACTCTGATTGCGGTACGGCAGCATGTACTGTTGCGAAAGTGTACAAGTGTTCAGCGCTACCGCAAGTTTTAGGAAGATGTCAAAGATTATTGAAATGAAAACAGTTCCATATTTTTTGTTTTGTTGCAGTCAACTGAATAGCAAACACACTTTTCATTTGAAATTTGATTTGACAGCAAGCAGTATAACCAAAATGATCTTTAGCAAATATAATCCTAAGTAAGTGTTCTGTTTCATCTATTGTACACATCGAAAAATTTTCACAAGACTGCTGGTCCGATGGATTAGTGCTTCTGCTGGGCTCTAAATATTCAACTTTACCTTTGCCAGCTGGAAAGGACTCTTTCACAGACTTTATCTCTTTAGTCCTCTTCTTTTCTCTTTCTGATCTCTGATCAACTCGGTGCTGTAGTAAAACGTGGCAGTTCAAACATACATACAAATATAAATTTTGAAAATGATAGTTCATAGTAAAACATCAATTATATATCAATCATTATTTCTTATTTCTTTTGTTAATTTTACTTGTGAAATTGTTGGTATACAAAATAATATTTAACTTTTATTTTACATAATTTAAAAGTTCAACAATTAATATAAACTCTGTAGATGTACGGTTTTATCTGATTAGCATCTAAACTGGCGTCAGTGTCCTGTACCACAAAAGCCCTGTCACATGTTCAAATCTCAATTCATTCCATTTCTCAATGAATATAAGTGTACACAATATTCTTCAAGTACAACTACTTACTGGTTTTGCTTCTTTTCTACATACATGTTATCAGTCACATATATTACAACAACAGTCAACAATGTCAATTAATCCATAATCTGACCAAATTTCTTTATCAAAAACTAGGCTATCATTCAAGCTCTTTCATGTCTTTAATAATTTAATAATTTATCTGTCTAACCGTATGAGTAAGATTTACTGGAAATCCAACCTCGATACTCCAGTGGTTACGCTCCTCTACACATAATTTAATCCTGGACTGAACTCCATTAACATTAACTGCATTTCAATTATGAACAAAATTCCTTGTTGACAAATTATGAAGAGAAATCTTTTCCAATACTGAATGAGAAATTGACTCCAAAACAAAATTTACTCACAGCGATGATATTTCCCTGGTTGTCCATCCGCACTTTGTCACCCTCCACACCTCTTCTCTTCCCTTTATACTCTTTTGCCATGCGCTCAAATCTTTGTTTCTCCTTGTCAGGTAATGTCTGAAGTAAGGAATGTTATATACAGTTATATACATAACGGAAAAAAATTAGTAATTATGAAATCAGAATCTAATACACAATGATTCAGACATGAACTTTCAAACATTCAACTATACTACAGACTGGTGTTACTTGTTTGATGTTGCTTCTGTCTGCCTAAATTATCACTAATCCTAATGAACACAGTCTGAATTCAGAATGAACATATGTGATAGCTTCAACTGTCAATAAGCATATATATGTGTAATTAATATTGATAAATGATCACCTGCACATACCAACTTGCAAAACAAGGCAAAAATGGACCAATCATCAACTGAATTCAACTCCTGGGCTACGATAATTACAGATACTACTTCTACTAACGCCATTACCAGAATGTTGGATGAGGATGTGACTCATTTTCGAGCAGCGGAATCTATGTGTAAACTCTTTATATATAACTTAACTATATAATGCTATTATATTGTCATTTCACTGTAATGAAGACAATTGTAATTATGTCACGGCTGAGGAATTCTAGTCATTTCAGTAACAAGTTGTTTCGGCACCAAGCTGTTTCGATTCAGTACTTGCAAAATTGTTTACACAGCTAAAGTGTCATTGGAGTATACAGTTTTTCAGTAACGGAGCAATATTTATCAATGACAAAACACCTGAAAAACCTAATAAAATACATAAAACAAAACATTTTTTAAAGTATATAAACAACTTATCTTTTAAGTACTGAAACAACTTGCCCATAGGCTAAGTTGTAATCTTAACTTTAATTATGCACACATTTTTACTGTTATTCTGATGACAGCTAGCTTGCTAGTGGTAACATGTAAGGATACTCAATCTTCAGTATTGATAAATGATGTTCGCATCTTTCAGAGTTTCTGTGTAACTCTTCTAGTACAAAAACAATCTGTACAATACAGGTTTAATCCCTTTTAGGATTCTTCTTCTAAGATAAGAACATCTAGGTTTAGAGAGATTACTGACTCTGATGTTTCCTTGTGATTCATTTATATTGGACGTTTGACAATGTCAGACGAAAGACATTGGAACATTGTCAAACGTCAGATATAAACGAGTTCCTATGAGGGATCCCAAAAGGTGGGGGGGGGGGGGGGGGCGAACCAGAGGGCTACGGTACATGCATGTTTCAAGTTGTCGCAACACCTTTTTATTGACTCCGATAAAATAGATATGTTTCTAATACGATTTCAATTTTCCAAATATGTAAACGCCAATACATGAAAACGTTTACGAACGATCTACATGTCCGCTGTCTATCTATTTTGCAATCAGTTCACCTTCCATCTCGGGTGTGCGATGGGAACAACATCCTGCATGCCATTCAATACACGGCCCTCACGCCTTAAAGCAGGCTCAATCTCAAGCATGAAGAAATAAAACGCATTTCTGGCAGGTTTCTTTGGCATTTTGCTGCATGTGGTGTTAATGTCTGTGTAGAAATATTTTGATATGCAGTATTTATGTTTCTCGTTTCCTCGTGACAAATTGACGACTCGCGGGAAACCCCCAAACTGTGGTTATTGATCTTTCAGAACAGCTGAAGAACATAAACGAAACGAAACATGTTGAGAACTCGGGACAAGGCTTTTCTTTGTTTTTGTATTTGTTTAATCTCAATACAAGTATACGTATAAACAAACGTTCCTGCTTAGGAAAACATTCCTGATAAAAATTGGTAGTCGAGATATCTACAGTACTCCTGGCTGTTCAAAGGGCGATAACCCTGCAACAATATCGTTCGAAAATATTTAAAATTCGTCGAAACATTGTTTTGAAAAGCTGTCAAACTCTGACAGGTTTATAATTGATACGCTTTTACTTTAATTATATTTTCGCCTTATCATAGTATCATAACTTACATTAAAAATCATATGAAGCAACAAACCAGAAACGTATAATTAATACAAACTATTATTATAATAATATATTGAGTTCAATGTGATATAATTTATCAGCTTGTTAACATGAATTTATCTCCCATGCCATGACGTGACCTCAATTGTAAATATGTGATGAACATGCATGTTATCAGGGACGGATTCAGTATTTCTCTTTAGAGGGGGCGCAACTTTTTAAAAACTGTACAACCCCCATCTCTCTCTCTCTCTCTCTCTCTCTCTCTCTCTCTCTCTCTCTCTCTCTCTCTCTCTCTCTCTCTCTCTCTCTCTCTCTCTCTCTCTCTCTCTCTCTCTCTCTCTCTCTCTCTCTCTCTCTCTCTCTCTCTCTCTCTCTCTCTCTCTCTCTCTCTCTCTCTCTCTCTCTCTCTCTCTCTCTCTCTCTCTCTCTCTCTCTCTCTCTCTCTCTCTCTCTCTCTCTCTCTCTCTCTCTCTCTCTCTCTCTCTCTCTCTCTCTCCTTTTTATGTACTTTCTGACTCCACTTTTACCTTCCTTTTCCGAATGAGAAACGGTGTTTGGATGGATAGCAGAAAGAAATTAGGATTGTGTGAAAAATAAGGTTTTATGAAAGTTGTTATAGCGGAGCAGCGTATTTGCGTAAAGAGACAGCTACATGGCTGGAGGCACGTTTACTGCCATTTATATCCTTAAAAATAATATCCTTCAAACTATTTTATTGCTATTTGTCGGTTGCGAAGAGCTCTAGAGATCATTCTCATCGTATATACCCACCCCCCTTCCAACTGTCCGTTGGCTGGGCAAATGCGATTTTAGAACTACGATTTTGCCGCTATATCTTGGGGAAAAAAGGGATGAATCCTTTTCACAAACGTGTATGTGTCGGTTTTCGTTTGTCCCTTAATGTTCAGGTTTTTTCAGTTTTGGGTATAATCCAAATTTGATTAAAAAAAGTGGGAGGGGGTGGGGGGAATACATATCTACCTTGGATGTCGACAAAACATCTCACAAAATTTCATAGGCTAGTTTATTGCTGATGTTTTTTTTATCCATATTAAGACTGATTGAATAATTAATTAGCATTAAGACCGTACTAAAAACGTACTAAAACAACTAGAACTAAAGAGCATCTTAAGGTAGCAAAAGTAAAGAAATTCTTCGGATGAAATTACAAAGTAACAGATTATCGGGGCCTGATCTGCATACTATAACCATGTGTAATGATGAATTTTCAATTTATTATTCTCGCAAATATGGTTATTTGGGGGAAGGAGCAGCGCCGGGTGTCCGCCCTCTGGAGCCGTCAGTGATTGTCTATTTTCATTTCATTGCCTATATGCCTTCGCAACCTGGCAAACTAGTCAAGATTTCTTTCGCTAAGCGGTATATTTGAAAGGATTCAAGTTATTCACCATAATACTGATGTTATATTTCGCGCGCTTTTAAACTCGATTTTCTATTTTCGTTGTCGTAAGCGACATATCTGAAATCACTTACGTCCTTAAAAATTGTTGTTTTGACAGAATAGCAGGCAGCATGGCCAGCCAACACGACACGCTCGTAGGAGCTGTCGATCAGGGAACAAGTAGCTCGAGATTTCTGGTGAGTACAAATACATGAGGACAGCGTAAACACATGTCATCAATAGGTATTTAACACGAACTACATTGCAAAAAGCATATATTTCATGAATGACATACCGTTTCAATTGTTTGCCCTTCAATGGAGCCGCTGTGTTTACAATGCGCGCGCCCCTCTGTAGACGTATATTTTTTTGACAGTATAGACGCCTTAGTTGATAACAGCTGTGTATCATTATCCTGTTCTCCGTTCCCGTGCACAGACATAAAGTACAACACTTTTGATGTATTTCAAATCTGGATAACATAGTACAGCTCTTTCTTATTTTGACTATCATCGTCTGCTTTATGGTAATTAGTTAATACAAGTTGCTACAAGCCAATCACCGTGACATTTAAGTTACGTAACTGGCTTTGACAATATATACACGCACGGGATATTAGATACAAATCTGTGACTGCAGTTGCAATTTTGCTGTAATTGTTTCAGTTGAGACTTTTCCCCACGCCTAAATATGGTGTAGTTACCCCCCTCCTTCCCAAATGAAGACAGGAATCATCAGGAGTATTTTCCCAATTTTGTCAAGATTGGTCAAGCTGCTGAACTGTTGATATATGAAGCCAATTTGATAGACTATTGAAGAAATGTAACATAGTTACCTCAGATCCAAACGATATGTTTATCGTACGCTTACATCCGGGGCATACGTCCCTGGTTGTAATAACTTGTTTCACCATGGCTGTAAAATAAATAAAGTTTATATTGTTTTATATTTATTATTGAAAAGCACAGCTGGCTAACTCAATGAATATATATATTATTTAAATAATTTCATTTTCAGAAGTTGAACTGGCCACCATACTTGCACACAATGAGATTTTGTTAAGGAAAATATTGATTTGAAAAACAGTAAAAAACTGATGAATTGATTAATTCCTCAATTTCTGACAGCTTTTTCAAACAGATATTTTCCTGAAAAAATGTGTATGTATCATGGTGATCAGTCTAACTTCTGAAAATGGAATTACAGTGAAACCCGCTAAATATCATCTTCCATTTGTCATGGGGAGATGTGATGATAAGTAGAACATGACATTTTTCCATGGGCATGTAAACCTGGAAGTTAATTTCCTGATGTGCCAAACTGACTTATAACTAATAGAAATTGTTTGAAGACAAGAAATTTGTAATTTGCTATGTTTTTCCCATAAGAACAGTGATTTTCCTTAACTTTTGTTTGTTTATTCTTTGAAATATCTGAACTGATACCGTAAATTGTTGTGAACGATCATGACATAATTCATGTAATGTTCTGTGGTCAGATTTGTATGTGACACCTCTGTGTCATCAGCTGATGTTTTGTCATATCATTAATTCATCCATTACTGTGTAGAAGGTGAGAGTATAAATCACCTTATTGGGAATTTCCCTTTAGTCAAGCAGTAGAGTGTCCGGCTAGACACAGAAAGGGTAAAGTTGATATATACACAGTGTGTATCTCTGAAACTTCAATAAAATGTGTTCTGAAGATCGCATTGCTGACAATGATAGCCAACAGAGTGTGAACTGTTCACCTTTGAAGAGCTATGTTTCATTGTTAGTGGTTATTTTTAATGGCCAATCAGATGTCGTGAAACATGACAGAGGGAAAATCTGGGTTCAGAACATTTTACAATTTCACTATTATTTTTATATTATTATTATATTATTTTACAATTGCTTGTGACAATTTAAGCAATTGTTTTAAAGAAATATCAAAACTTTGACATTCTGGTATAATGACCATTTGGATTTCCAGCCTTCATTCCATATGATGCAGTTTTTGCCCTGAACAAACTTTCAGAGAAAAATTATTATAGCAGCCAAGATGAAAAGCAGCCCAATGAAGCATTTGTACAATGTGTGATCAGTTGCTATGTTCAGTTATTCCTAACCCAGATAACATTTTGTGAAACCTGAAGTTCAAATTGGTTATTTTAGCATTTTAATCTTTGTATTGGAAATGTGTTCTAGCTCGAAGATTTAAAGATGGCGACATTTTAAATGATGACATTGACATGCTGTGGTTTGGTGTCCCATGTGTCATTGTAAAAAGAAAGAAAATAAACACAACTTATGGTTAATTATGGTTCATGGTTCATTATTGTCTGAAATGTCTTTTGCAAAATAATCTTTTTTGTTTTGAAATTATACCTGTATGCATACTAAGGACTTATTTTAAAGACGTTTTGGCAGCACATCAGCTACGTTGGAAAACTTAGCAGCATGGTGCCCATGGTTATAGCATGACAAGTTCCAAACGAAAAGGGTTAAAAACCCATTTTAACACTTGAAATGCACAATCCTGTTAAAAAAAACAAACAAATGCATCAGACATCCTTTGACCTAGATGGACCTTACAGGTAAGCAGGTTAATCTTATTGTTAGGGAGTTGCAAGTTGTAAAACGTTAACTAGTTTGACAGTGACAATGTTTATATAATATAACAATATAACAGATGTGACGTATGATCCTTTAGACATGAATCCATAGTTCTTGTTCTCATTTACTTGTGATTTACCTGTGTTTTTGTGCGACTGTCTGCAAACGAAGTAATATTAAGTGCTAACCACATGACAATAAGTGACATTATCAGATGTTGAATTACAGAGAATATAGAGGGAAAAATCAGTGTTTCAAGAAAATGTGATATTAAGCAAAAAGTGACGTTAACAGACATGACATTAAGTGGGTTCCACTGTATTTGAATTACAGACACGTTTAACTAACTTTGAGACAGTTGGAAACTTAGACTTCTCGTAAGGAAATATGTTTTATTTTCAAACACCTGGGCAACAGACAGAGGTGTTGTATAATAAGTGCCCTCAACCCTTTTACACCATCCCCATGTAATTTACAGGTCCCCGCATGAATTCCTGTATACCATTCCCATATCAGCCCAGTCACTCAACTCCTTTACACATTTCATGTGTAATCCTGCGTAGACCATATCCCCAAGTAAAGTGACTCTTAACTCCTGTACACAATTCCTTTTTACCCCTCACC